TAAGGCTTTGAAACGTAATGAACAAACTGCATAGTGCATATTAGTGTCCTACCAATATGATAAACTAGCTTTAACCCGCGACTTCGTTCGCCTGACCGGGATATATTACTAATCGTGATAAAAGTAGCCTACGTCCTCCATCTTGTATAGTACGTGTATACCAAATTTCATAGTGATTGGTTTTTTTTGATGGGTGAAAATGATATGGTAACCCCGCCTGCGCTAACGGGATACGCTGGCGGAGCACCAGTGAAGGGTGATAGATGAGAATGAAAACAGGTCAGTTAGCCCATCATGATGAATTCATCAGGAATTAACCATGATAGTTTCCAGGGAGAACCGCGAGGAGGTCGACCTGGTTGGGTATATTGCTAGCAATGGGATTCTCAGTCTCCATTACTAACAATCCCTTTCCCCCATAGTGATTGGTTAGGCCATTATATATTATATTTGTAAGGATGTGAAAGTTTGTAAAGATGTTTGTTACAAAAATGACTGAACGTATTTGAATAAAAGATATCTGAAGAGTTAGTTGCAAAAACTTAGTAACAGTTATTAAACTAATTAATTTAGTTAATGTAAAATTTACACGTTGTTGATATGTATTTTTAAAATACATTATTATGGTTTAACGCGATGAAAAAATTGCAGGTAAATATTCGTTGTGTATTAGTGGACTTCGCATATTGTTTTTTATTAACTCCAAATATAACAATAGTACCTACGTACCTGTTTTTATTGTTGTCGTTTCAACGTGGATTGCACCACGTTGTCCTGTCGTGACCACGACATGATGTTTTAAAACCAAATAACTTGCTAAAAGAAAGTGTATAAATAGCGTTGCCAACTGCTACCTTTTTCTAATAATTCTTTTATTCTTTAATTCTAATAATTCTTTCTAGTTATTAGAAAAAGGCAGCAGTTGGCAACGCTACATATATGACGCAACCGAGTCACCCACCCCTTCGCTATTTAAATAATTCTTGCAATGGCCCCCCTTAAAACTTTCGAATGGTTTATTTTCTTTTTCATATACATATTTCATTTATATTATGCTTATTTTACCAGAGGGAGACTTTGTACAAAAGTCGATTGCTTGGGTACCTCTGTCCCATTCGTGTTTCTACCGTGAAGCAGTTGTTTGTATGGCTGTGTTTCGGTTTGAAGGGTGGGATATGACGTGAATTTACAGGGTACAGAGGAATAACATCCTCAGAAATCCTCAGGAATGGCAACGCATGGGGGGTATCATGGGCGAAACAGTATACTCTGTTATGTCCATGGCACTGCTCATGTCTATAGGCGACGGTTACCACTTTCCATCAGATGGGCCATCAGTTTGTTTGCCATTCTAAGTTGTATAAAAAAAAAAACATAATACCAAATATCTAATCTTAGATTAACTTTATCTTTTATCTATATAAAATAATCTTTTTAATTTCTATTATAAATTGTCACAATTTCATTCCATTATTATCCATTAAAAAAAATGGATATTCTGAATCAAGACCTTTACAAGAAGCTTACGAGGTCTGTCCGGAAAGTTCGTATAAAAGTGTTCTGGAATGCGAGAAAGAGGAGTGGGGAGGCCAGGTAAGCGCAGGACCCCTTCCTTATGTCCCTAACAATGCTTCAGTTCTGGTCTGACCGCCGTGCGGTGCGAACTGGCTTGTCACGCCATCTGTGAAGTTACCTCTTAACGAAACCCCGTCGGCATGGAGCCCGCTTCCGTTGAAGAGCAGCGCGTCGTAATCAAGTTTCTCTCGAAACTCGGCAAGAATGGCCGTGAAAGCAAAGAGTGGAAGACATCCGGGGAACCACGAACAAAAAAATCAAGAAAATCCCGCTCAAATGTCAAGACAATGTTGATTGTTTTTTTCGATGTTCGGGGGATTGTCCATCAAGAATTCGTCCCTCCAGGCCAGACAGTTGATGGAAAATTCTACGTCGATGTGCTCAGACGCCTCAAAGCTCGTGTGGCACGAGTTCGTCCAGAATTGGCGCGAGAGGGGCGTTGGATTCTTCACCACGACAATGCCCCTGCCCACACCTCTCTTGTTGTCCGTGAGTTTTTGAGTAAAAATTCCATTACGGTGACCGAACACCCCCCCCTATTCGCCGGATTTGGCCCCGTGTGACTTCTTCTTGTTCCCAAAAACCAAATTGGTACTTCGGGGGCGGCATTTGGGGGACATAAATGAGATAAAAAAAGCTACGACGGGGCAGCTGAGAAACCTACAACCAGAGGACTTTCAAGGAGCCTTCTCACAGTGGAAACGGCGTTGGCACAAGTGCATTATGTCACAGGGGGAGTACTTTGAAGGGGATAAAATTGATTTACCTGAATAATTGTAAAATAAAATTTTTAAAAAACTTTTATACGTACTTTCCGGACAAACCTCGTATATGAAAGACGAGTATCCGATAGTCGCAAGGATATCTCCATTAGTCTTTCTAAAATGTTGACTAAAAAAAAAGAAAGTTGCAAACATTATTTTTTATCTATGCATTTTATATTATCTATAGCCTTGGTTTTAGAAAGTATTTATTATTTTATAAGCATTTATAATCCGTTAGAAAGTGAACAAAATCTGTCAGGATATAGAATTCTTAATTGGTTTTACGTAATAAATTTATCGTCATAGTTTAAGGTTTAATTTTGCAAATAAATAGAAACTTTCATTGTAACAGTAACAATTAGAATGGAACCCTATGAATTTTAAAAATATGAAAATTGGTTCGGAATAAAAAATATATATACATACTTAAATAGTACGTAAGTCAGTTTTTTTTTTTATCAAAAACTATCAAAAGATTTTTCATCTATTTGACACGGTATATTTAAATTAACCCTTTTAAAAAATATATAAACATTTGATGTACAATTTATGGATAATTGATATTGATTAATGATAATAAATGAATAAAATTAATGGATGATAATGGAATGGTAACCGCGCCTGTGTTATCGGTATACAGTAGCGGAGCACCAATGAAGGATGATCGGTGAGGATGAAATGGCAGGTCAGTTAGCCCATCGCGACGAATTCAGCCATAAATTAGTCACGATGGTTTCCAGGGGGTACTGTGTTGAGTTCGACCTAATAGGATGTATTGATAGCAATGGGGAATATAGGGACCCAATTTATAACAGTCCTTCCCCCCCCCCCCCCCCAAAGGGTTAGCCCTATGTTCAGCAGCGGAAAGTTAACGGCTTAATGATGAAACAACAGTACGTGGACTTATTTGGTTGAGACATCTATTTCAGTTTCTGGAATATATACATGTATTTTTTCCTGTATTTGTCATCAGTATTTGTTCAAATTATACATGAGCAAATAAACGGGTAGATGTATTCGAATGTAGTTTGTAGGTAAATAAACATATATTATTTACAGGGGTGACGTTATAATTCTGGAATGTCACTTCGATTCTTGTGTTTATAACGGGCTACAGTGCATATTGCTAACTTTACCATTGTGGGGGGAAGGGATTGTTAGTAATGCGGACTACCAGTTCCATTGCTAGCAATATACCTAGTCAGATCGACCTCCACGTGGTTCTCCTGGAAACCATCGTGCTGAATTCCAAGTGTATTCATCACGATGGGGTAACTGATCTGCTTTTTCATTCTTACCTATCATCCCTCACTGGTGCCCCGCCAGCGTACACCGTTAAATCCATTAAAAGAAAAAAAAAAAACTACATTACTACTACCTAATATTTAAGTAAACATTTTTTCATACTAAATATATATCTACCGAGTTGTTTCTATTCACTTTTATGTCATTGATTTCACGGAGAAAACTTTAAATGAACACTCAGGTTATGGAATGAGCTCCCTGCCGAGGTTTTCCCAAGAGACTACAGCATGGGGTTCTTCAAAAGGGGGGTAAAGAGGCTTCTTTAGGGTCGGTAACGCGCGCGTAATACCTATGATCTTGCAGATGTTCATAGGCTACGGTTGCTTGGGTACCTCTGTCCCATTTGTGTTTCAACCGTGAAGCAGTTGTGTTTGCATGGCTGTGTTTCGGTTTGAAGAATGGGATATGGCGTGAATTTACTGGGTACAGAGGAATAACACCTAAGTCCTCAGGATCAGCAACGCATGGGGGGTATCATGGGCGAAACAGTATACTCTGTTATGTCCATGGTACTGCTCATGTCTATAGGCGACGGTTACCACTTACCATCAGGTGGGCCGTATGCTTGTTTGCCACGTCTGTGATATAAAAAACCATTGTAAAAATCCTTGAACGGCGAAATCGGTCACGTGTGTATTACCTATGACAACTTCTGGAAGAGTATAGTGTTTTTATAATACTATCATATGCTAAGATTAATTATTTAGGTACTAATTTAGACTTTGTACAGAATCCCAGTATTTTATAGTAAAAATGTAATAGGTGCTTTTAATTTTTATAGACAGTTTAAATTCGTTTCGAGTTTAAAATTAAAAGTTTGTAACGTATTTTGTACTACTCCTATAGTAGCTTCGCTTAAATGGCGTCCCGGGTTCGATTCTCGAAACGTTGTAATTTTAATAAGTATGGATGTTTAAAATTATTTCTACAGAAAATAGTAATTATTTTTATCAACCGATATAAACCATATCGGTATTATACAAAAGTATTGGAATCTATGACTCATGTGAATAAGGTCATATACCTATTCTCAAGAGGTAAGGCTGGTATTAATCACATAATAAAGTACAATACGTGATATTCTTTCTATTAATAATACTAAATATGACACTACCCACTTTATAAATAACTGAAGTGTTTACCTTTTTTTTTATTTATAAATTTCAATGTTTAAACTTCAATTATAATAATAGAAATAAGTGCTTAGAAAAGTATAAACAAAAAAGCAAAACACTGACTGATGTAGGCACATCACTATGACGTTATCAGCACAACAAATCGATATTTCATAATCAAGATCTTCTGCAAAAGTTGAGTCAACGACCGCGTTTACAGATACGCAAAAAGAACACTCACCTTGCTCAGCTTAAAACTCGATTATATTTTGGCATTCGACAATGTATAACCCACTGAATGCATCACTACACCACAGAAAATAACTTGCACCAAACTTCGAATTCACCGAAACCAAAATAACGTGCTCTATCGATTTCCTTATCACTTCTCTCTTATCTATCACTGATTGACTAGATCTGGTTCACATTCAGCTTTTTCCCAGACCTATATTTATTCATAAAAAAAAATATTTCAATATGCCTTTAAGTTTTCTTATTTAAATATCAAAATTGGAACGCACGCGGTTCGATATTCAAAGTTTTTGTTTCGTTAACGGTTTGCGTTATAAGGAGCGACATGAAGCCAACACAAGCGTTGGCGGTAAACTGGCATTGCAGACCGGTCAAGTGAGAGCTCGCATTGTGTCATCGTTTGAACTTACGTACGTTTTCCAATTAAAAACACAGTGAGACAATGTTCCTTGAATATTTTATTTTATTTTCATAAGAACGCCACAAGTTTTACAGCACTGTTGCAGGAGTTCAACTTACACTTATACTTCAGAAATACACACATAATTTAATACAGCAATTTAAGACAAGTAAAGCGAAATTAAAGAAGTTATACGTACATATTTATGAATAATTTTACACATAGTGGCCTACATTTCTTTGTAAAGACAAATTATGCAGTTTTGCATCAAAGTGTATTTATTATTTGTCAAAGACAAACTGCTGACCTCTGGTAGAAATAAGCATGTAACGACATACATACATACAGCATTCATGTACTACAGAGTAAGTAAATATTAAAACAGGTCAATGCGATAATAAGTTCTTATAGTTATTCTACTAAATTTATGCGACTTTGTTAGTCGCTTGTACAGTGATATAAGTCATAAAAACATGTCTAAAATCCGGTGATGATTCATAAAACTTTTTCACTTGAATTTTATTTATATATATATATATATATATATATATATATATATATACGATTTATTTATCAACTGATTTTAGTAACTTAATTTTATATTTATTCTAAAGTTTAAATTCTTAACAATTACAATAACAGATATATAAATAATACTGCTTACTGATTTCTGATTGTTTATATTTTTGTATAGAATTCTTGGAAGAAATTTTTGGTTGTTTCTTTCAAATCCAACTTTGTGTTCCTATTTAAGATACACAAAAGGCGAATTTAAAGTTAATGGCATTTCGGCGTCTTTACAAGTCAATCTTTGAAGAGTTAAAGCTATATTGGGCGAGTTCAATGCGCGTTTGCGAGGTACCTATTCGTATTTTTTATACTTAGGTATATGTATTTATTTCAGAAAGGAACCGTCGTTCGCGAGTCACGTTTTCACGAATCACGATATTTTTTTAATACTTTTACCTTGAGAATTGAATCCTTACTATTATTAAAAGTGTCAAAGTTGGTAAAGATTTTTACATGTTAAGATGTTACTGAATCACGCTAAAACACGCTGAACACATTTAAATGAAATTTAGTTCCCATGCTATCAATCATCAGGTTGACCTCCACGCCGTTCCCCCTGGAAACCATCTTGGTTAGTTTATCGTTGAATTCGTCACGATGGGCTAACTGATCTGCCTATTTATTTTCACCATTCATCCCTCACTGGTGCCCCACCAGTGAGTACTGATAGCGCAGGCGGGGTTACCATTACATTATCATCCATAAAAAAAGAAATCCCTGGAAACTATCATGATTGATTTATTATTGAATTCGTCATTCGACCAACAGACTTGATTGATCTTCGCCTATCATCCCTCACTGGTAGCTAAATCGGTACGCCAGTGTACTAATGTTATAGCACAGGCGAGATTACCATTTCATCATATATCGTCTATATGTGATAGATTCAATCGTCTATAGACATGAACAGTGCCATGGACATAATCGACGTATTGGATCGCTCATAGTACCCTTCATCTGTTACCATTCCTAAGGGCTAAAGTGTTTTTTTTTATGAGTGAAAATGGAATGGTAACCCCGCCTGCGCTAATGGGATACGCTGGCGGAGCACTAGTGAAGCGTGATAGATGAGAATGAAAACAGGCCAGTTAGCCCATCATGATGAATTCATCAGGAATTAACCATGATAGTTTGCAGGGGGAACCGCGTGGAGGTCGACCTGGTTGGGTATATTGCTAGCAATGGGATTCTTAGTCTCCATTACTAACAATCCCTTTCCCCCCAGCGCTAAGGTGTTATGTCTCCGTAGCCTGTAATTTCATTGCTATATTTAACCCTTCAAACCGAAACATAACTATACAAACACATTTGTTTACGACAGAAACACGAATGGGTCAAAGGTACCCAAGCAAACGAAAAAAAATATATAATGACGACTATAATCCTTAATAAGGTATTCAGAGGAATCTGTAGTTCACAAATCCCGAACATAACAATTGTTCACATTTCGCTGAGCATATTAGAATCTAACGGGATAGGAGGCTAGCACGCCGTCGTCATTCAGATGCATTTGTTTTGTTATCGGGATTTCCTATCGCTGGAGATCGAGTCAAAAATTTAATCTGACACACTATTAAAATAAAAAAGTAGATAAACAAATTCTTAACAAAACCATGTTGTGTTACAACCACATTACAAACGTGATGTAATCGCGTCACGTGTGTATTATCTGAATTACCCGCCATTTTTAATCTGTTGAAATTTTATACCAGAGAATAATTGCCTTTTCAAGTAAAAGACATTTCGTTTTAATTTGTCATGTGAAATAAATATTACTTCATGTTTTTACACACTTTATGTTTGTTATTACTATAATTGACTTTAAACTCGTATATTCTTATTGCAAAATGTACGAAACTGACCAATTGTAAGACGCCATTTTTATAAACTTATTTTTTATTTAAACTTAAATGCAGAGTGGAAATATATGTATATTACTATAAATAAATTATTTAAATTGATTATAATAATATATCTTAACAGATACAAATTCTATCGACTTGAAATTTTGAATAGTTGTAGATATTGTCGAGCCTATAGAAAAAGGGATAATTGAAAAAATATTTATATTTTTCCTGTTAAACGGTTCAAAAGGGTGACTTGAAGTTTCCGAATAATCTTATTAGTTCAAGTTTTACGTGAAAGAATTATATTTATATATTCTAAAATCGGTGTTCCTTTCTATTTCCGCTAGTTTTAGAATTTTAATAAAAAGTAAATAAAAATATTATTTCTGTAATTTTATTACGTATGGTTATTCCTAATATCCCTAGTATTTTTATTTTCCTATGATAAATGACGTAAAGGCCTAAGATTTCGCTGTCGAGTTCTGCAGATATACGATTTTCAATAAAACTTTAATATACTTGAAAGAGATAGAGTTTTTTTTTTATACAACTCAGAATGGCAAACAAGGTGACGGCCCACCCGATGGAAAGTGGTAACTGTCGCCTATAGACAAGTACCATGGACATAATAGAGTATACTGTTTCGCCCATGATACCCCCATGCGTTGCCATTCCTGAGGACTCAGGTGTTATTCCTCTGTACCCAGTAAATTCACGCCATATTTTCACCCTTCAAACCGAAACACAGCCATGCAAACACAACTGCTTCACGGTTGAAACACGAATGGGACAGAGGTACCCAAGCAATCGACTTGTGTACAAAGTCTCCCTCTGGTAAGGTTCTTGATTCGAATTATTTTTTTATGTTTATAACCATATAACTTTATCAATTTTAAACTGATTTAAAAATTTCGTTTATTATCTGAAAGGGTATACCTATAAATTGCTTCTATAGAAATTTTATCAAAATTAGTTCAGTAGTTTAGTTTTTAGATCAAATTAACTGCTATTTTCAGAATTGAAGTCGGTTTTTTGTGGAGCACAATCTTTAAAACAATATTAGGTTGGGGTTACCTGAGTACAAACAACCCACGTGCATTGTATTTAGAGAAAACAATCCCGGCATGCCTAGTGACAAAGGTAACGGATTGTTACAAATGCAACTATTATAATTATATATACATTTATTGTATAAATTAAATCAAATAATCAAAAATAATTTTCGAATTACCACAGACGCAAAAAAACAAAATTATATAATAAACTTTCTACCAAAACTACTACGAGGAATATAAAAGTTTTTGGTAGAAAATTGAAATAAGAATAAAATCAAAATCTTGTATTACAATTGATTAACGATGACATAATTTTATTTTAATAATAACCACATCATTCAAAAAATATTTTTAATTATTTGTTTTATTCTATACATTAAATTTATATATAATTATTACAGCTGCATATGTAACAGCTCGTTGCCTTTGTCATTCGGGATCATGGGATTGTATTCTCTAAATGTATTTCATTAAGCTCGTATTTCGTTAAACCAAGTTTCATTAAATAGTCTTGTCAGGGCCGTGCCTGACGGGCGTTCATTGCGTGCACCGCACGCAGGCGGCCGAAATTAAGAGGCGGCCAAATCGTTACAAGTTGTTTACTGGGCCGATTTCGGTTAACCAAAAACTGATTTTTTTCCCGGTTTGATGCCCTGTGTATAATAATAAACATTAAAAATTAAAGTAGTTTTTTTTAATGTTATCCTGGGGGCGGCCATACAGACTGGCACGCAGGCGGCCATATACCCAGGCACGGCCCTGAGTCTTGTACTTGTAGAACTCAGCCGAGGGATTTTAGGTTATGCAGGTCAATGTGTTTGGATCACATGACGTACTGGTATGATACTTGACCTTGGCGTGACAGGTGTACAGCGTACCCTACCTTTAACGACCCCTTTTAAATATGTTATTATTGCTAATATACTAATACCATCTGTCTGGAAAGGGCGGAGAGGGGGGGGGAGGTTGTTAGTAATGGGATCTAAAGGCCCCATTGTCAACAGTATTAGGGATAGTAGGGGTGGGTAGTATCCACCTCTGTTACTTATTATGATGTCCGTTAACCTGAAAATAATGGGGGGAAAGGGATTGTTCGTGACGGAGACTGAGAGTCCCATTGCTAGCAATATACCCAACCAGGTCGACCTCCTCGCGGTTCTCACTGGAAACTATCATGGTTAATTCCTGATGAATTCATCATGATGGGCTAACTGGCCTGTTTTTATTCTCATCTATCACCCTTCACTGGTGCTCCGCCAGCGTATCCCGTTAGCGCAGGCGGGGTTACCATACCATTTTCACCCATCAAAAAATAAAAAAACAGAGAATAATATTGGATTACTTTTAACATATTCGATAATAGACACCCCCCCGATATGGGTGATATAGAAATAGGTGATGACCTCTTTTCCTCCATCAATGTCCAGCGGAACCCAATATATAGATATCGGATCGATATCCATATTACCTATGCCTAGTTACCT